TGTCATGAACCATCCCTGCTAAAAAATACAACAGGAATACAGTGACATGTTGGGCATCTAGCTAGTATAACACCCCAAAAGCAGCCTCTTTGGAATTATGTAACTCTCTCTGGGTCTCAGGGTTTTCTTCTCTTTTCATTCACCTCCAGATACTCCCCCCTTACTACATTCTTCTGGCCCTGCACTATCGTCTCAGAGAGCCTGCACACATGGATCCCATTTCAGCAGACTTGACAGCACAAGAGACACAGTAAAACTCTTGGCTTTCAGATGCGCTTCTTCGACAAAAAGCCTCTTTTTGTGGTTCACCTTTGTGCATTTTGACAAAGTAGTGGATATATCTGAATCACATAGACGATCCCTGCAGTCGAGTGCACTCCAGTGCAATCCAGGCTTTTTTTTTCAGTCAGGCTGTGTATAGCGACAATGCAGCAAGGCACAGATGCTGCCTCTTACTAGCATAGCTCAGGGCTGAAAACAACATGGGATTCTGTTACTGTTTTGGCCCTGTACATACTGTAGTTTTGGCAGTGCTCATCTGTTTTTTTATTGATTTGTGAGGATGCTATTCATAGTGTTGTTCTACATCTTACTCCTGGGAGTGCTGGTGTGTAATATAAGGCATTAAAGAGGACACTGATGCCAATTTTGGTGGGGTTTTTTTTTCAGTTTAGCATTTAGAAGTCATGTTGTCCTTATTGTGACTCTTCAACTTAAAACGCTGACACAGTATTTCTGTTGGTTATAGTAGCTACTGTCACTAAATTACTCTGTACAGTTACTCTGGCATCAGTTGCTAATAAACTCAATACATCTTCAGTGATACCTGCAATCACCTTTGTGCATATTAGATGTCAATATCATGTTCAAAGTGAAACTGAAAGAAAAATGATCACACTGATGTCAGCTGTTGGTAGAAATGATGGAAGGCTAATGCCCATCTGTTCTCTATTACTATGCTAGATTACCATGTTACAATCTCAGTCTCCAATCTGTGCTAATCTAATTATCCACAGATGGTATCATAGCCTGGGTGGAGAGAGGAGGGAGGGAAAAACACAATGCCGCATTGACTTTTTTATGTTGAGACTTTGATCAGATATCTAGCTGATCATATGATGTGTGTGGATTACATCGGTGGGGAACCCTGGGATCAAACTGTTAGTTTTGCACGGTTTAACCCATGCACTTAAAATCTATTAATCTCCTGCAGGCCAGGTAGTGATTGCTTTTCTTTTTTTTTTTTTTTTTTATGTCACAGATTACTTAAGTGCATTCAAGAACACACTCTGAGGAGTATTGAAGAGTGGCTGCCATTTCTAACTTTAAATTACACCATGCCACCCAATGTTCCGCTGTATCTTGCTATCATCTGGACTATAGCATGGTGTACTGGAGAAGAGTTGTGCACTTGTTTTCATTTTGATGTAACTTGTCTTTCTTAGCGTTTTTTTCCATACCAGCTATGACATGGTGCATTATGGACACTCCAATCAGCTGCGACAGCCAAGGCCATGGGAGATTACCCATCGTTGGAGTACATACAGACAGTAAGGCTCAGAGCCAATGACCCTTATAGCATAATCATTGTCCTTACCCACTGTATATCTCCAATGGAAACTCTCTCTTGGCTGCTTTACCAGGAATTTTCTGACTTTTTTCACACCCAGTCCTGATCTTACTAATGTGTGCCTTTACCACAAATTATCCTGCCTATACTGCTAAATTCTGGGGAAGTATGGCACCTATAGCCTTGTATATTTTCTCCAAGTCCCACCATTACCAGCCAGGCAACAGCTGAGTCCTGTACACTTAGAGAGGTTGTTGTGATAGTGGTGCAGCAACTCAGCGATTGTGCCTCACCCTCATGTAGCACACCGGGGCGTTCTGACATTGTGATAACCCAGAATGACTTCACAGTCAGGGCCGGCATGGATAACAAGCAACCTTGCCCTCTGCTGAAGCGATGATAAAGTATCTCAGTGACGAATGGAAATGCTGCATCTTCTACTAAACGTCATCTACTGCAGTATGTGATTCAGATGGAGATTTCTGTCTCTCCGTTCTCAGTCTACATTATTTCTATGTGTGACAACAGGATCGTTTGAGTGTTTTTTTTGTTTGTTTTTTTTTAAGGTGAGATTGCAAAAGCATAAGGGTCCCCAGTCTTCACTCAGGCGAAAGATACAAGATGGTGCGGGCCATAAAATGGGTGGATGAGGTCGTGGAAGGAGCGCCTTACGTCACCACCCTCGGGACCCTTGACAAGTACAACTGTGACTTCTGTGTGCACGGAGGTAAAGAATATCACCACATGATGTCTCTGTTTAGACACACAAATGGATTGATAGTCATAAACAATGCGATCAGCTCAGAGTTTGAAGCCAGATCACTGATTTTCAGTCTGTTATTGATGGATATAACATTGATTACTTGGTTTATGCAAGCAGTGTTTTGCGGATGCTGTCGTTTCAGATGATATAACACTAACAGTGGACGGTAAAGGATACATACGAGGAGTGAAGAAGTCAGGACGGTAAAGGTGAGCTTTTCTTTTGAAAGTGTACAGAAGATGATAAGTAACAGTCTGGATGGAACTGTCATTGTGTGCGGGTCTTTCATAAGATGTTTCACTATGAATCATATCCTTACAGGAGTGTAAGAGAACCCAGGGAGTGTCAACCACAGATCTGGTTGGCAGGATGTCTGCTGATGACCAAAGCACACCACAGCAACATTGTGAGTACAGCATTATTCTCTCGCAATGATTTCAGTTTCAACAGTACAAGCCTAATTCAATCCTTTGTTCTCTTTAGGATAAGTTCAGACTATCAAACAGCACAACAGACAACTTTGGAAAGGTAGGTACCAAATATATTTGATCATATATTAGTCAAAACCAAATCCTCAGCTTCTACAGACTCTTAGCAGGTATATGTTTTAAAAACCACAATTCTTGTCTCTAGCTTCTTCTCTCAAACTGTTTTGTCATTCAAGTCATCAAATTTGTATGTGGGCCAGATGTTAACCATTACATAAACAAAGGCTTTACTGTGGACCCACTTTATAATCAAGTAACAGGCTTCGCCAGTAAAACAGTGAATACCACTTCTGTTCCTGCTTGTGGAAACTAACTCAGAGTCAACATGCTGGGGTTTTAAAAAGCGTGAAAGCAGTAGAGGGTCTGTTCACAGCTGAGCATTTAAAGATTGGAAGCGTAATGCTTGTGAATTTGGAACAGGGCTGAATAAATGCACTGGGGATGTGTGGGACAACTTTGATTAACCAAAGGTGATATTACCACATACACCACTAGGTGGCGATGATGCAGCGCATGTGTTTATTCTAGCCTGAACTGCCAAAATTCTGCAGTGATACTGTATCTTATACCAAAGTGCATATGGGTCTTATATTCTGCACTATCAATTTGTACTCATTATGTCTGTTTCTGGATTATGGGGGTCGCATGGTCAGAAAGGGCATAGTCCCCTGGACGGGGGTGTCTCAGTTCCTGCAGACTTCAAGAAAGATCATCCAGTTGGCTTCAGGCCAGGAGCCTCAACCTGGAGACACCATCATCTATGTGGCAGGAAGCCTTTGACCTCTTCCGTATCTTTTTAATGACCACACAAGAAAATAAGTTGGATTTTTGTAAACATACTTTATAATCCAAATTACATGTGCAATTTCATGAATAAGTCCATGAATAATTCTGTGAACTGTTGCGCTCACCCTTGACTGGTCTCCTGTCAGACATTGGCCATGTTAGACTTCCTGGAAGCAGTGCATAAGCTTGCCGAAAAGCCATACATTTAGTGGGTTGCACTTTGATCAGGTGAGTGTCCTCTTTTCTCCACATGAGACTTTTACTGGCCTGCCTGAGTCCAGTGTTGTCATACCACTTCTACTTTGTTCATATTTTTCAGGAGGTGAATCGTTACAAAGGGAAAACTACCCCATCATGAATGTCCACGAGAGAACGCTTAGCGCCTGGCTTGTCGAGTTCGTTCTTCTTATTGCTCCTTCTCCATCAACATAGTGTACTAACATATACTGTCTATATTTCCATATAAAATTCATTTTTGCATGCTTTTTTTCACAGTATGTGTAAGAAGTGGTGATTGGTGCACCCTTTGCAGTCACGAAAGATTTACTGGACCATTTTAAGGTAAAGTATAGGCAAGCCATTTCCACTTTCACCACTTGGTTAATAAAGTTTCTCAACAGTCAAAAATGCATAAAACTTTAACATGGCTCTGTATCCACAGGTGGATCTTGTTGCCATGGAAAAACAGAAATATACCCTGGAAAGGATGGATCTGACCCTTATGCTGTAAGACTATAAACACTGACACATTATACGGAAATCTTTAGAAACACCTACAGTATGTGAAACAATGTACAATGCTTCACATTTTTAGATAATTCTTTTCTTCATACCCAGGAGCCCAGGAGGAAAGGAATCCTGCCGAACTGTTGACAGTGGGAACAGCCTCACCACAGACGCCATTGTTGCAAGAGGATAATCAAAAACAGGTATTATATCCAATGTGCAAAAGCGATATTTTATTAAGTTGAATAAATGGGATATAGTTGACTCGCTGCTAAGAAATGAATATTGTATTACATCGGACCTAGGGCTTACTATATGCTTTTTCTGATATTCTTTTGTTGTGATAAAGGTTACAGTTTTGAAGCAAGAAACGCGAAGAAAGGAGGCTAAAGAAATCGCTGTGATCCAGGCCATGAAGCGAA